GATCCCGATGGACTATGGTTTTTGATGGAGAGTCCAATGCATTGGGTAACGGAATTGGTGTTGTAATCATTTCTCTCGAAGGTTGACATGCACCTGTCACTTCCAGACTTTTCTTTGATTGTACCAACAACATGGCTGAGTATGAAGCTTGCATCTTGGGTCTTAAGGCTGCCATTGACCTAAGAATCAAATTCTTGAGTGTATACGGAGATTCGGCCCTGGTGTTGCACCCCAAAATTTGCCCTCCTAAATTCTTTTATCTGGCTTAGACTTTTGCATTCATCCATACTCACATCTTTAGGTCACTAACATGGCATACATTTCATTCAATAGAAGCACCTAAGTTTCAAAGTTCAGTGGGCGTGCGATGTCAAGGTTTTCGCATTCTTTTGAGGTGTACATATCAAATAAAGCTTGATGTTCCTGGTTCTCCTGATTTTTCTTCAATCAGTGAATGTATCGAATTAGGGTTTCTGTGGTTTTAGGGATATCCTTCCCATTCAAGGGTATTCAAAGTATCCCTTCATCAATGATTCTAACTAAGAAGACTATGAATTATGGCTTTGATGTTAAGCTGCTTCTTCATTCAATGTACTTCTCATAAGATCGGGATTTTTGATCTATTATGTTTCAATTGAGTTTCCTTAGAGATGATCTTATGTGATCCAAGTCTCATTTCTATCTCCGAGGATTATTCTGGTCATATTTGTTGTGTTGGACTGAAATACAAGTACCATGGCTAAGGAGATGAGCTTCAGGATTCTTTCATTTTGTTTTAAGATATGATTGTCTTTGAGAGATGAAGATTAATTTGAAATCTCTTATTGGTTATCATTCATTCTTGTTGTCTAAAGCGTTCAAATGGATTGAAAAGACTCAAGGTTTGCAAGGCCGAAAAAGAAAGAATTTGTTTGGGATTAAAATTACAAGTTACCAAATAGAGATCATTGTTGTTTACCACAAAGTTCTATTCAATTTTATTCAGGTGTTTACTTCGGTTCAGGTGGAAAGATTATTTTGAGAAAAAGGATTGATAAACTTGAATTAATCTCGAGGAAGCTTTCGTTTGAATTCAAAAGGAATTTTAATTACAAAATTATTCAAAATATCAAGTTCATTCACGTACAAGGTCACTCGAGAATTATTCAAGGCAATTATTGTTCTTATCATTGTCATTTGTTGTCTGCAATACGAGTGGATTTGGATAGAAGTAGGCTTCTCATTGAAGGATTCATGCAAGGTCATTCAGGGTTCATTCATAATTTGATTCGGGATTTTTATTCAAATATTCAACACAAGTTCAATTCATCCATCTTGTATCACGGTTCATTTTATATGATAAATCAAGGAAAAATTGGAATTTAAATGCTAAGGGGAAGGAAAGATCCATTCAAAATTCATTCAAGTGGTTACTTTGTGTTGTACCCCGAAATTTTCCCTCTTTTCATACACGCATATTATTGGTTTTATGGTTATGGAATAAAGGTATATTTATCAAGCTTCTTCAGGTTACAAGTGACGTTTATTTCGTCAACGGATATTCTCAGAGTATTTTCTGTGCTGAAGATCGGTTCGCTGTTTTGCAATGATTCGGGGTTCAAAGATTCACAAGTCCAACCCGGCGCGTCATATTTAGGTGTTCTTTCACCAAGATATCTCTGATAACGTATTCTCAAATTCAGGTTCGACTCAAGAGTCAATTCTTTAAAAAAGGTACCCGAATGTGTGAGTTTTCTCGAAGAAATATGGTGAAAAAGTGTGCTGAAAGTGCAGTTTTTACGCGCTAAAAAATTCATAAATTGAAGATCGTGGCTCGTTTTGAACCCGTTCCGGTGGCCAAAATTCTGTATTGACGTCATCTATGTTTTCATATCTCACGGCTGGAAGCCAATTTCGATCAGAAGGTCTTCAAAAATGCGGATTTATCAAGTATTTTCGTACAAAAAATTTGTGACAAATTTATTTGTGTCATGTTCAGAAAATCATAACTTGGTCAATTTTCATTGTATCGAGCTGGTTCCGGCGCCAAAATTTTAAAAATTGAGTTAGATAAGTTTTCACAGGAGGTATTGAGTTCTAACAGTATCCAAAAGGCCTTCATTTTTTGCTCAGAGTGTGTGTGACGCGCCGAAAATCCTGAATGCTGAATAATATTTCATCTGGGTCGAAACTTCAAAAATTTATAACTCGGTCAATTTTTATCGGATCAGGCCCATTTTTACACAACAACTTTTCATCCAAAGTCGAGACCGGATTATGCTCCAATCAATACCAGTTTTTTATTGAAGAACGTGTCAGAGTCGACACTGGAGCCCAAAATAAGTTAGATAAAACTTCAAAAATTCATAACTAATTCACCGTCTATCCGATTGAGCCCATTTTCGTACAGGAGTTAGTTCTCGATGTCGGCTACATTTTGTTTTCACATTTCAACTTCAAAAATTGCATTTAATCCCCTGCGATTTATCCTGGAACGTGACGGACTCAAGTGAACATTGGAGGCCCAATTGCACATTCAAAGCCCATATCTTTGCTCTAATTTCCATTATATAATCTCATTCTTTTCACACAAAGAAAAGGGGGAAAAAACCTTTGCCACAATCCTGTCAAAATATCAAATTCTTTCAAGAACCCTAAAACCTTGAAATCCTTATTACAAACCTCCATCTCACTACAAACAAGTCATCCCTGTTACAAACCCACATCTCACTACTTCTCCAATAAGGGTAAGGCTGGTTTGATCTCCATGATCAAAAGGGCATAGAAGCATTCATCTTACTACTTCTTTAGTAAGGGTAAGACTGATTTGATCTTCATGATCAAAAGGGTATAATCATTCATACATGTCATATCGGTTTTAACATTAAAATTTTTTCATATATTTGTTTTATTTGTATTTCATGATATATACTAATTTGTTTAATGTGGCTATGACATTCAACATTACAGGTTTGACTATTATGGTCCCATGTAGGTTTATTACAAAACACTGAGGTCGGATCATAACAACCACCAATGTATGGCAAGGCAGACATCCTAAGGAGGTTAAGGCAATCATCTGTTTAAAACTTTTTTCATAAAACCTAATATTTTTTACAAACCTTTGATTTTTTTATAATAAACTCGAATAATTAATTTTAGATTTTTTAATTTAATTTTAGGTTTTAAATTAATTTTTGGTTCAACAACCACCCATGATATTTGCATTATTTTTATTTTCTAACCCTATTTTTCATTGATATTTCTTCCCCTATCTATTTTTTGGCAAACTTAATATTTTTTATTAATCATTAGATATAAACTTTTTTTAAAACTTTTTTTATTAAAATTAATTAGGTTTTAGGTTCTTTTAATTAACCTTTTTTTCAAAATTAACATTTTTTATTAATTAAAATTAATTAGGTTTTAGGATTTTTTTTAATTAACCATTTTTCCAAAACTAACCTTTTTTTAATTCAAACAAATTAGGATTAGGTTTTTGTTTTAGTTAGTAACTGAATTTTTGGTTTTTTTTCATTTATTAATAAATTAAGTTAATTAACTTTTTTAAAATTAAAATTAGTTAGAATTAGGTTTTTTAATTAACTTAAAATTATTGTCTAAGAAAAAACACCAAAAACATTAACTTAGAATTTTAGGTTTTAATTTCTACTTAATTTTTATTTTATTCTTTTACATTTTAATTTCTAAGAAAATTGTATAGGTCGCATTATCAATGTAATAGCGTAGATTTATCTTTTCTCGCATTTTTTTAATTATGTAATTGCTTCTGGGATGTAATAGTTTTAGGATTTCTTTTCCGCACTCTTCATTATTATGTAACTGCCCAAAGGCCTGTAATAGCTAGGACTTTAATTTCTCACATTTTAATTTCCGCAAACTATAAACTGCTTAGATGTATGTTAATAGGATTGTATGAAAAGACAAACTGAAAATTAAAACAGTAGATCACCTTAATTGTGAAAAGATTAAATAACTAAAATCAAACACATGCACATGCTCACTCTTAGGATATGCCTCACTTTGTTGCCTCGGAAAACAATGGTCATGTCCCTCGAACGTAGGGATACCCTTAGCAAAGACCCTCAGTTAAAATCATCATAAAGATCATGGTCCCTCGAAGTTTCCTACGGTATATGATCTTGTTCCTCGATGTTGCCTACGGATATATGATGACAGTCCCTTCGAAATGCTAAGGTATCCCTACATGTTGCCTTCAATGAACATAAATGTCCCTTTCGATAGTCCCTCAAACATCCAATGACTAGGGTTACCTACTCACTAATAGTAGGATAACACGGTCTAAAGGATAGGAGGAAAAGAACGCCTTTTTTCGAGTAGGTAGATAATTGTTAGGTACTTACTCAAAATAACAAACTTTTTTCACACAAACACTTTTCAAACAAAGTTTTCAAAAACAACTTCGTAACACTCTTAAGGACATAAACAAGGGTTAAAACGAAGTAAAACAAAACTTTTCAAAGCAAGCACACACAAGCAATTTTCAAAATGAGCAAGTACCTAAGAGCCCATGGAAAACCATGGATAGAAAGGGTGCTAACACCTTCCCTTTCTATAATCTACCCCCGTACTCAGAATATCTCGAAAAAAGGTTTTTTTTCTGTTCTTTTTCCTTTTCCTGATTGGATAAAATAAAATTCGATGGCGACTCTTGCTTACCGCGACATTTTGCAAACAAAAAACGCAAAACGCAAACCAGTATTAAACAGTTGATTCTGCCACTGTATCACACTTTGGTTATAGTTTGTCAAATTGGATCAACTTTTCTTGAGGTGCGAGTGTGTGGATTGTTTGGAGTTCGAGTAATAGGCATAATGATCATTCACCATCCAATATTCATCATTTGAAAGTCATCTTGATTCAAGTATCATTTTTATGTTCTCATCGTGAGAATGTTACATCAAGGAAAATTTAAAATACATAAGTAACATTCAAACCCATCTAAGTTCTATTGTATTAAATCAAGAAACCCAAAGGTTATGCTCATGAATCATTACATCCATAAACTTCATTCAATTTCACCACTCAAAAATCAAGACCATATGAATGTCCATGTTTGTCAAAGCTTGGAATTCAAATGCAAATTGGAAAGAAAATATCCAGATGAAATATCATTACATTTTGGGATACTACAAAGAGCAAAGAAGCAGATTATAAAATGCAAGCTTACAATTCATGATGCCATTCGCCAGCTTGATTCTCTAAGTTCAGTTGGTAGCATTGAAGGTTCTGTTATTGCTACATATGGATCGGTTTATCATGAATATATATTATGTGTAGTTTGCAAGATGCACAAAGATTTTCCAGATACCGATATTATACTCTGAGACGGAACTTGCAATCGGGCGTTTCACCAAAGGTGTCTTGATCCTCCTTTTGATACTGAAAACATTCCTGCTGGAGACCAAGGTTGGTTTTGCAAGTCTTGTGAATGTAAGACTGAAATACTCAAGGCAACAAATGCGTATCTCATGACTCGTTTCTCTTTAGACAATACTTGGCAGGATGTATTCAAGGAAGAAGATGTTATTCCCGATGGTGACACGGGATTATTAAATCAAGAAGAGTAATAGCCTCCAGACGATCCTGAAGACGAAGACTGGGGTCCGGTATAAAGACCGCAAACAACAAAGTATTTTGATGTTGTTAATATACTTATGGCTCTGCATGAGATTGAGAATAAATATCAGAATAATGAAAACAAACATCCAGATAATGAGAACAGTGATAGAATATGAGGGAATTATGCTGGCATAAAAAGACAGTGCTTCAGGATTCCATATGATGCAGTTGAGAAGCTTCGCTAAGCTTTTTCACATAATGAGTTATTAGATAACCATCGAAATTCTCACATATATAATATTGTGAGTGGCTTAGTAGAATTTGACGGGTACTATCTTGAGAGTAAACTTTATGTTTCCTGCAGCTCTTCAAAAGCACCTTACAGTAGGATAAAGTTGGAGTCCCTAAAATCAGAAACAAAATTCATTGATAATCGCATAGTGAAATGCACTGGTAGTTGCACAATCCAGGCTGGGACCATCAATGTTCATGATACCAGAAGAGAAAATCAGAAAAAACTGAGGAAAATATGGACATCAGCATAATAGAAAGCGAGCTGTGAGAAAAGAAAATCAGTTCATAGCAGAAAACCAACAAACTAGCTGCTCAGCCTAAGCCTATTCAACCAACTTGCTAACTAATTTTTTTTCTAACACAGTGACTAACTTTCACTCAAACAAAATTTTATCTAACCAGACTAACTCAATAACAGAATTCCATCTCAGCAGCTTCTAACTAATTTTCCAACAGAATAACTAACTTCTACCCTCCTCAATCAGGACGCTCTATTTTTTCATAACAAAAAATGAAAACCAAGGGTTGAGATTGATTCAGATATAACTATTTTCTAACAACAACAACAAATTTATAAAAACAGAAAAACTCACCATCACGATGATTGTTCATTTTCCTGGAGGAATCACCAAAAACCAGAAAATTCTCCAATCTTTCTCTCTGAAAAATTCACGCAATCTTCATCTTCGACATTCACTCTCAACTTTTCATAATCTTGATCATTCATCACAGCATCACTTTCAAGCCAAAACTACAACACCCTTAGTTCACTCTCTTTTATCATCCTCGTCGCACATCATCCACCGCGAACAAAATTTGTATATCAAATCTACAACAACCTCGATAAGTGTCACAATTTGCAAGCAACAGAAAACATGAAGAGCAAATCGAGAAGAGATTAAAATATGTGGAAGAGCTTACCGGTTCGTTTCTTCTTTTCGTGCCTCAACGTCAGTGAAGAATGGAGTTCTCCGATCAAGAATCAGAATAACACGAAAGTTGAGCCACAATAAAAAGTGACGAGAGAAATCCATGAGATATTGATATGGCGGAACAATTGGGAGTAGGCGAACAGAGATTGCAAAGAAGAATGACGAAAAGCGAATCACAAAGGTGTTGTGTTGAGTTGATCGGGTTTAGATGGAAGGGGTCTGGCCTCCGTTGATGAGAAATCAAGGAAGAAGCCATCTTTGTGAATTACCAACGATACACAAACCTTATTTACTTCATAAAAACGATACTGTATTGATATATCCATTGTTTTTATTATGTCATTTCTTCGTTTTATTGTTAATTGATGATTGGTGATGAATAGAATAAAAACAACTTGCTGAAGCATTTAGGTTTGGATGCGTGGATCTGGGCCGAAGTTCTCCCTAAAACCTAATTGCTGGTGCTTTTTTTTGTAACTAGACTATCTCTAAAAAAAAGGGGCTTGTTGGATCCTTTGCAATAGGCCTAGAGTTTGCTTCTATCTTATCACCTAATCCAGTCACAAACCCCGCCTCTATTTGTAATTAACTTTGGATTCCTTTTTAGTAATTTTCTTCTCTTGAATTTTGTTAAACAAAAATATTAATAACAATAAAATTGTTAATTGTTTTTTTTAGGAATTTAATAGAATTTTTCTAGGAGTTCTTTGTTTATAATTTTAGTTAGAATTTTCTATTATTGTTTATGTTTGGTAAGCATTTTGTTGCCAAGATTTTGTGATTCACTTTTGCTTATCGAGATTTGAGTCTTATGCAGGTTTATTGTATGGTAGGCGAATGCGCTTGAGATTTCGATTGTGATTTATTTTCACATCGATGATGTGTCGATACTTATTCTGAGCATTTGATTTCTAGCTCTTTTCTTTGATTGGTGAAGCTGTCACGAAGATCGTCCATTTTTTTGTTTTGATACGCTTTGCTACGGATTGATATCAGTTTGGTATTTTCTCTTGTTTATCTCATTTTGCACTTTACTGCTTTCTAGATATCACGAGAAATAGGAAATAAAGAGCATGCACTCGAAGTCACTGTTTAAAGACATGTAGCAGGCATTCCGCACTTAATTTTCTATATGTGTTGTGCTTATATTTGTTTCCTTGGTTGTTGATCGATGAGTCACTCAATTTAGAAATTGAGATCACGACTTTGCTCTCAATGCATGCTCCCTATAGTATTTTATCGCTTTCCTGGATTTCTTGTTGACCGATGAGTCACTCAATTTAGAAATTGAGATCACGACTTCGCTCTCATTGCATGTTTCCCGTAGGAGAGTTTTGTTACACTTTCTTTGGCATGCTAGCCTAGATAGGATCTCTCTAGGTGTGCTCTCTTGAGCCTTTTAATTGTTGATTGGTTTTCCTACCTGATCCTCAATATCATGGTTAGGCATTTGACTTGAGTTAGCCCGAGCTTCTCATAACATATTGTATGTGCTCTCTTGAGCTTATTGGTTTGCTTGCTTGATTTTATCTTTGTGTGCATGTTTTGAGATGATATACCCTTAGCATGTTCCCTTAGGAGCTCTTGATTCATCTATAGATGATGATTTGAGATAGACATAGTTTTAGGTGATAGACCCTTGCTATGCTCCTTTAGGACTTCTTGATTCATCTATAGATGATGATTTGAGATAGACATTAAGATTGTTATCTAACCATGTCAACATAGGGTAGATATTTCCCCTCAAAAACTAAACTTCAGGATCAATCATTGTATGATAACATTAGAGATAGATTTATGTTAGTCTCCCCTTATACTTTTCTTTCCCCTTTTGTATTTGCATTAAAACAAAAACTTCTTTTTCTTGCAAACTTCAAAACACTTAAAGATTCTTGATGAGAGTCATACCTTTGTTGAGCATGGGAAACGATAAGCGGGTTTCTTCTCGATCTTATTGTTCTTCTATTCTAATCCTTGGTGTGGTTCAAGTCTCAAAGACTTACTTCATGAATAAGTAGAGAAATGGCTAATATCTCTCTCTTGAGATTAACTAGTTGTTATATGCAGCAAAAACACCAACCAACACAAACTCTTTTTGCCTATGGGCTTTTCTTTCAAAACGTTTTCAAAAGAACAAGTTAATTCTCTTATGTGCTGACGCGTAAGTCTCCAAAGGTCGAGTTGTGCCAGAAGGAGAAATTAATATTGTTCATTAAAAAATAAAAACGAGCAAAGCTTTTGAAGTCAAACTACGACTGCTCTGATTCCTTAAAAGGGATACGTAGGCATTGGGGTAGGGCCCGAACAAGCACAACTTTTATTTTCCCTACATTCTTTTCTCCTTTATTTTACATGCATTCCCTGTACAGCTTAGATATAGATTTGAAACACACCCATAAGATAGACAATAAGAGTGGATACCGTAGAGTACTACTAGCGTGTGGGGTGCTAATATCTTCCCCTCGCGTAACAGACTCCCTTACCCGATCTCTCGGTCGCAAGACTGTGACTTCTCCCTTCTCAGGTTTTCTCGATTTTTACCTTTCACTTCCTATGGGATAAAAGACGTTCGATGGAGACTTCATTATTTGATGATTTTCAGCCGGTTGTTTCCGCTGGCGACTTCACTGGGGACAGATTGACCTATTGTTGGTCCATCCCAGAGTCGATCCCAACTCTTGTTTGTTTACTTCTTTGGGTGTTTATTTATTTCCAATTATTTATAGATTTATATACATTGCATACATATGTTTGTGCATACACTTTATTGCTTTCCATATTGGTTATCTTCTGTGATGGATTTGTTTCCATGTTGGGTGGGTGTTACAAGAGGTAAAAGGCCCAATACCCAGGCCAAGTGAAAACCACAGGAACACTAGGAATGGAGTGGAACATGATGGATAGGGGATATAGATTACCCTAGACGATTGTGTCATCCACGCTCAAATGAGGTTTTAATGAGGTGTTATCATCATCACGTAGGTGTACAATGATAGTACTCTCAAGCGAACCCGTGATTTTGAGCTACCCGACCTTACCTTGACCTAGTTTCACCTGTGAGTGGGGCAGGAGTTATTCTTAGTGGTATAGATGGTGACTATGTTCTGGTGGTGACTGTATTGTTCTGTTGATGACTATGTTTCTTTGGTTATGTTCTATACTTTTATCCTAGTATATTCAACTTGGCCAAAGATTATACAGTGGTTATTCATGGTACTTGGTTCTGTTGTGTTCTAAAATTGCACTTAAGACCTTTGGTCCTGTGATATTCAAATTATTCAGCAGATTTATACAGCATTTATCCAGAGGATTGTACAATTGCTATGCTAAACTTTTGAACCTATGTTATTGCACCTTGCATCATAGCATATTTATTTTACACAAAAAAGAAATGTGAAAAATGGTATGCATGAAAAAAGTTAACACACATGTTCTTTCCATTTCCAAGGAATCGTGCTTGTGAGCCTTATGTCGTGTTTGTCCATCGCTTATTGGATCAAAATAAAAATTAAAAGCATGTGAGTTCCTTGAAAATGACTGAACATGGCAGTGTATCCACTCATTCATCTCATGCATCTTCATGCATTCATAACAGGTATTCGGAATGTGGAATCCTTATTCAGACTCAGTATTTTCTTTTTAAAACTTCAAATCTTGACTTCTCACTGCTCCGTTATCTGAAAAAGCCATGGTACGAATTCGTGGGGAATTGGATGAGATGATGAATTAAAAAATTATATAAGGCTATTTATCATGGACATGCAGGCAATGGTCCATGGTCATAAATCTTTAAGGGGAAAGGATAACCAGTTGAAGACTCAGTTGAGTCGGGTATGGAAGTTTTGAAGACAATGTCAGCAAAGGAAAGTTATCTTATATACAATGTTGCAACAGGAGATGTCATTAATCCCCTTTATATTAGACCTTTTCAATCGTGAGATACTTTAGGGGTCTCACCCAGAACTTTGTGTTCTCGTATTTTCTCGTCAGCAGCTAGTTTCTGGTCTCCAAGAGAACCCATGGGGCAAAGCTTATCGGAAGAAACAGAAGAAACCTGAGAAGCATGATTGATACAATCTTTATAAATTGTATCCATTTACTTCCTCGTGTATTGGAAGCTATGTTGATTAAGCTTCGTGCTTTGGGTCACCCTCCCATAAATATTTCTCCTGACTTCGATGTAAATACTAGATATGTTTCCCATTCTGAGGCACCTGGTTATGATATGCAGACTGTAAGGGGTTGAAGTATGAAGTCTGACACTTGTCTGATTTCTTTTCCAAGTTTCATTCCATGTTTGGCAAATCGTTTCAAACTAT